AAAGGTTATTTTGAAGGGTAATAACATCAGTAGTAGTAGTAGTAACAACAGTAACTATAAAATTTCCTTTACAGTACTTTAGGTGGAGAGGGGCTGTGATATCAAATAAACAAGATGGGATAATTAAGATTTCAAAAAGCCTGAATCATTGATTCTACAAGCATCAAATGTTTGTGCGAATATGTATGTGAATATATAGGATTACTAAAGAAATACGATAAATTCCTTGCCCTGAGAGTTTTAAATTTGGTTGGGAAACAAACAAACAAACACGTAGATCAAATGTGAGTATAGTTATAAACCATTGTATTAAGGCCAAAATATTAAGATACAGGTCAAAAACATAATTGCTATGGTTTATAAAGTGTGATCAAAGCAGGCCATTATTAATCAGGGAAGTCATGAAAGAGGTAATGTTTAAGCCTTTGAAAAGGCTTTATTCGGTAAAGATTTAGCGAGATTGAATATTAGGGAGTAATCAAGTCTTTATTGGGGACTTAGAGGAAGGAATCTAAATGGCAAACTAGGTAATCTGATAATGCCAGTTGTCACTACAGGTGTACCTTGCCCAAAGTTTTCGACATTCAGGGCTGAGTGTGTCAAACTCATGCAAGGTTAACTGTGATTCTTTTATAACAGAGTGAATTTAATGTGTACAGTCAGGAAGTCATTACCATTCTTGGGGAAATTGACCTGGTGCTGGAGAATCTTCCTGAATGGGTTACTGCTAAACCAGCCAAGAAGAACCTGTTCACCATGCTGGATGAGGCCTATGTTCAACCAGAGCCCTTTGGAGTTGTACTGATTATAGGAGCTTGGAACTACCCCTTTGTTCTCACCATTCATCCACTGATAGGAGCCATTGCTGCAGGTCTGATGTCAGATTATATCTTTATACCCTTTTAGAAGGTCTCATTCTCTCATACTGGTTGTAAATTAAGGTGGTAGCTAATTAAGTACATTTGCTGTGATGGTTTGCCTTGGTTTACATCAACAGTGTATTGAGAATTCATAAATATATATACATATATATATATTTAAATGGGCTCTAGAGAAGATTTGTATAGGTGACTATTTTTTATACCAATGAAATGAACCTGTAAAGAGGTAAAAGCATGAGTCAACAGGCTCGGGAGTTAGGAGTCAGGTGTCGGTATTCTAGTGTGGTTTTTAGTTGCCAGCTCTGGCCTGCGTGAACCATTTGATTCTATCTAACCAGTTTCTTCATTCAGATAAGGGCTATGGAAGTAATGCTAGCTTGAGTATGTAGCAAATGCCAAGAATTAATGTCTCACTTTTGCAGGATCCAGATCAACAGTTTTATATTGACATGGCCTGTTTGTCCAGTAATTCCAGGGCAGAGAGGAAAATTCAGGGGCAGGAGTGGGAGAAAAGTGTTAGAATGATGGAGGAACGGGGAGGCTGATGGAGTCTATTGTCAGTTACCTGAAAATAATGAGAACTAAGGAGTTAGCATTGAGAAAGAGAAGGTGAGACAAGCCATTTTGCTCATTGTGAGAAAGAGCAGAATTAAGAGCAGCAGAAATAATTGGAGTATTTAGCCTGTATTCCTCACATGAACACCATTTTGATAGCCATTAAGGTTTATGTAAGTATTAGACAATACTGTCCTGCTTTTTGCTTTCTTTAGGAAATGCGGTGATTATCAAGCCTTCTGAACTATGTGAAAATACAGCCAAGATCTTGTCTAAGCTCCTCCCCCAGTATTTAGATCAGGTAAGAATGTCTCTTCTATCTTTAAAATATCTGTTTATTATGGAGAACAAACATTCGATCTTCCTACTAGTGCATGTTATCCATGGCTGGGGTTCTGTTTGTAGTAAGCGTATAACAGTTGGCTTAAAAAGTTAAGTTCCAAAATCAACTGTGGAATAGCTCAGCTATTGTGGTCCTGTAATACATTTGGGCTCATGGCTTCATAGGCACCCTTGATACTTATAGACCCTCTTCTGCCATTTGGAATTTTGGATTAACCTTTGATCTAACATGATTTTAGGTGTATCCATTTAGTGAATGAATTATTTAATGAGGAACTGGTACTGTAACTGGGTTCTGATAATCTCTTTGTCTTAATGGTATGACTCTATAGAACACTTCTGCTTTTAAAACTAGCATGTTTGTGGCATGGAAACTACAGTAAGAAAATGGCCTTCTAAATCAGAATGTGGACTGTCAATTCGAGTTAAAGTGCTGGCATTTAACAGTATCAAAGCCGAATAAAGAAAATGATCTCCTCAACCACAGGGTGATTCATCTCTCTCTCCGAATCAGAGGTTCTGTGCCCTCCTAGGGAGGAAATTTATGATGCCACCACAGAATTGGGACTGCTTAATTCTACATGGAATTGCTGCAGGAAGGAGTCCTCATTTCTCTTTCATTGAAAAGCAGCTTCAAAATATCATACATGTAGTTGTATACATTAATTTATAATAATTTATAATAATCTAGGGGCCAACTCCGGCCCTTAGAATAATATCGTTCTTTGTTGTCTTAATCACTGCAATGGCAGCCCACAGAACAATTTCGATCTGATAGCTGTGGTTATGCAGCTCAGAAGGATGATGAAGACAGTGAGATGTCATGGATTGAGTAGGATTTGGAACCAGAAGGTAGAGCTTGAAGGTCCTATTTTACCCTCACCAGGGGTAAATTCTTCACTATTGGACTCTGTCTAGATGGAAATAATGCCTGCCCTTCCTCACTTAGCTTGTTGAGAGATCAATCATATATGCTGTGTGAGTTAAGCTATATGCAAGTTAAAACTTGAAACATTTATTGGGCAGTTGAACTATGAAGTGAATGGAAGACTGATTAGCCCTCCTAAGTAGCAGGAGACCAAGTGAAAACATGAGATCACAAGCCAACTTTTACTCATGCCCCATCCCAGAATGTTTTGAACATATCTCCCTCTGTCTTCCTTCCTTGTCATCTGTTTTGTCATTGCTTTTCATATTGTTTTTCAGGATGGTCTCTCTTTAATAATAGCTGCTAACAATAGTACAGCGCATATAAGGGTTCAGTGCAAAGGTATGTGACTTCTCCCCAGTAACAGGTGAGGAAACAGGCTCAGAGATGTTTAGTAGCTTGCCATAGGTCACATAAGCTAGTATGTGACAAAGCACAGATTCAGTACAGATCTGACTTCAAAAGCGAGTGTTCTTGCCTTCTGTGCTTTGCGTACCATTCACTCAGCAGACATTTGGTTCCTACCATGGGCTAAGCCCTGTGCTGTGTTGTGCAGAGAGAGAACATTCAGGTTAAGATATTAAGTTGGAGCCTGTTCTGTAGTCATCCTCTTTCTCACCCAAATCCTCAACTTACACAGCCCCTACCTCATTCATTTCTCTCGTTAAATCTGATTTGCTCTTTTCTCTTTTGTGTCTTCATTGCTGAGCTGTAGAAAACACTGGACTTTCTGGTCAGTTTTGCTGTAGGTTGATGGTTCTCAGATGCCATCAGACTCTGTTCTTCCCTTGTCCTCCATCAGCTCCCTCTTCTATCCTCACAGAGGCCAGTCTCCATTTTTTCACGGTTTTACTGAATGTTATATGTTTATGTGAAAGAAACCGCTCATATTAGATAATTGGATTAATTTGGTAATGAGGTGCTTATGTTTTTCTTTCTTTAAGGATCTGTACATTGTTATTAATGGTGGTGTTGAGGAAACCACGGAGCTTCTGAAGCAGAGATTTGACCACATTCTCTTTACGGGAAGCCCTTCAGTTGGAAAAATTGTCATGGAAGCTGCTGCCAAGCATCTGACCCCTGTGACTCTTGAACTGGGAGGGAAGAATCCGTGTTATATTGACAAAGATTGTGACTTGGATGTTGCCTGCAGGTGAGACTGGAGTTTTCCCAGCACAGTGGAGATGTTTCCTAACAGGTTGATGTATCCTCTTTGCATTGGAACCCTGTGTCTCCTGGCTGCAAGAGACATCATTAAGTTTTAGTGGTTGATGTTCTCAAGAGTAACAGAACTCTTTTACAAACTATCTCTTGGTGCCACTGCCAGAAGAGATGAGCAGCAGGTCTTGACATCATGTGGTTGTCCTTAGGAGTTATGGAAAAGGTTCTTTCTGTTCTTAAGATTATAGATATGGCAGGAAATTTTACTATTCTTCTGGTAGATGATCCAGGACGTAGATAATTGAAAGTATTATGTGTGCCTAATAAAATTTTTAAATTCCTAACAGAAAAGGTATTATGTTACTCTTTTAACTGAGTTCCTTTGTTGACAAAACCAGTTTTACTTCTCTTTTAATTTAGAACAGCATCTTGCACCTGGGAACTAGAAAACAAAGGTTTCAGGTTCTCTCTGCTTAATCAGGTTTAGCTACCAGGAAGTGCCAAAACCCAGAACTGACTGTGCCTAGAGTGGTGTGGCTTTCTCTCCCCTTCAGAGATGGGGAACAAGGAGGTGGTATATAGGGAGTTAGGCTGGGGTCCAGGTTGGCTTCATAAGTAGAAGTCTGCTTGCCAGAATATAGGACCTCAGTAAGTGAATGTTCAAGTCATGGACCATGATCCGTACATGGGCACCGCTTTCCAAAATGGGGAGGAGCTGTGTCCTCCTGCATGTACCTCTTGCCAACAAGACCTAAAGCCACAACCAGGAGAGGTGGAGTCTGTATGGAACTTCTGTTACCCCTGAAGTCGTAGCTGGAGTGGAAGGAGGAAGAGGGTGTTGGGAGACTGTTTCTCTCTGTTCCTATAGCAGGCAATGGCTTCATTGCTTATAAAGAACTATTTCCCATGAGCTGGCGTGAGAATTTCCCTGCTCCTTAGAGTATTCTACATCAGTTGGAAATGCTGAGTTCCAACCAACTGATTTAGAGATGAGTTTTTAAAACATTTTTTTAAATAAAGATTATACCAATTAATGCATACTAGTTGCAAAACATTCAAACAACACAAAAGTATGTAATAAATAGTAGACTGAATTCTGTGGCTGTTCTGTGTTTTTTCCCCCTCAGACGCATAGCCTGGGGGAAGTACATGAATTGCGGTCAAATCTGCATTGCTCCTGACTACATTCTCTGTGAACCATCTCTACAGAATCAAATCGTGCAGAAGATTAAGGAAAATGTGAAGGTTTGTGCTTAACACATCTGATTTCATTGGTTTCATTAAGATAAGGAGTCAAATTAATTGTTTGTGGGTAGCATCTTTATTCCTTCCTTTTCCCAGGAAAACTCCAGTAGTTTATGTGACTGCAACTTATTGGCTAATTAAAAGTGCTCTGTGCACTTTTCATAGAATAGCTGTTGGGATCAAGCTTAGGTTGATATTAAACCCACTTAAACTCTCTAGTTGATTTGTCGATGAAAGAACTGGTTAGTTGTGACACACGTTTTAAAATAGCTGTTTTATGGTTTTGAGAGAAAGCTGCCAATCCTTTGAAGTATAATCAGAAGCCCTTTGGCATGTTGGCCATTGCTAATTAAGGTTATCAGTTCTTGCATATGTAGAGAGTTTAGGAAAGCCAGTATTTGGAGGAGTGAGTTGATTAAAGACCTATTTATACTATGCTCTTGACATGGTTTTCAGTCTTCCAGGATGCTTAAAGATCTCTAGTGAGAGAATCAAGGAAGGCTGTATGGTAGTGTCCTGAGCTAAGCTTTGAAGAAGTATATGATTGGGATTGGAAGAAATTAATGGAATGAACCAGTTCGAGTGAGTTCACCAGTTGGGAGCGGGGTTCATTAAGCCCCCTGGGTGGAAGAAATTATTGGAACAATCATTGTTCACTTGACAGGTGCTTACTGAGCATTGAAAGAAAGAATCAAGAACACCAAAGAGTAATGTTTATGATCAGAGAATAGAAACTGTATACCAGGAATTTTAGGGAAGTACAGTGCTCTAGGCAAGGCAACTCTGGGCCTTAGGGACCAGGGGTCTTGGACATAAGTGATGGGACTGAAGATTGAGATGAGGAGAATGTGAAAGGAAAATTGGCCAGACTCAGGGAATGTGGAATGGCAGAGAGAGGGGTTAAAGATCCCTGTGAGACTGAAAATACTTGGGAATTGGAGAAGATGTGCTTAATTGAGTATGGCGGTGAACTCGGTTTCAAAGGAGTGAGAACCCTACTGCCTTCCTTTAAGATGTTTATACGCTGAACAAAGTGATTCTCAACCAAGGTTCACTAGGGAGCCATTTAAGAAAAGTTCCCAGTCCTTACCCTCCAGACTATGATTCAGTTGGTCTGTGATTGTGATTCTAAGGTGCAGCCAGCATTGAAAACCACAGTTGGTGGCTCCAGAATTGGGGCCTAGGAACATGCATTTCAGCAAGCTGCCTGCATGATTCTTGTCATCCATACTTGAGGCTATCCATGGAGTGGGCATGAACAATGTTGATTTTGATTTGAGAGTAAGTTGAGAGTTTTCACAAGGTTTTGAAGTGATGCAGCAATGCAGTAATTTTGTGTTTGTTTTACATAGTAAAAACTGATTATATGGTGTTTGAGGTTCTTTGTTTAATTTACCAAAACTGTATTTTGGTCTTCTGAATGGTTTTCCTTGTCATCTATGACTGGTGGAAGTACCAGTCCAGAGAAAATCTGAAACAATGAAACAGCACAAAGCTCCACAAACAGTTTCTGTAAAGGGCTAGATAGTAAATAGTTTAGGCTTTGTAGGCCATACGGTCTCTGCTGCAACTACACAACTCATTGCAGAAGGAGAGCAGCCACAGCTGAGAGGTAAACAAATGTAGCTCTCAATTAGAGCAAGACCTCCCTCTACATATGCTCCTGCATTCACCCCTGGGAGGGCCCACAGGTAGACTGCAAGAGATCAATATGAACCCCTGAAACTATAGAAAGTGATAGATCTGTGTGTGTGCTTTAATACTTGTCCTTGACCTGTCAAAAGGCTTAAACTCACTTATACTGCAAATTCTCCTCAACTTATGAGATTATATCCTGAAAAATTCATTATAAGTTGAATATATCATAAGTCAAAATTTATTTAATACAGCTAGTCTATGAAACATCATAGCTTAGCTTACCTTACCTTACACATGCTCAGAACACTTACATTAGCCTACAGTAAGGTAAAATTATCTTGCTGCCACTGCCCAGCATCACAAGAGAATATCGTGCCACATATCGCTAGCCCAGAAAAAGATCAAAATTCGAAGTACAGTTTCTACTGAATGTGTATTGCTTTCACACCTTTGTAAAGTTGAAAAATCATAAGTTGAACCCTGGTAAGTCAGAAACAGTCTGTACTGTTAAAGTACTTGGTGGGGTGGCATGTGATGATGTAAAACCAGATCTATTTGAGAGCATGAGTGGATTTTGTGCTTATATAAGAAATTGAAATATGGGTCTTTTGTGACAATTAAATGCTGTTGTTTTAAATAGGAATTTTATGGAGAAAATGTAAAAGAATCTCCTGATTATGAAAGGATCATCAATCTTCGTCATTTTAAGAGGATAATAAGTTTGCTTGAAGGACAAAAGATAGCTTTTGGTGGGGAAACTGATGAAGCCACCCGTTACATAGGTAATGGAAATTCCTCTTTTCTTATGGGGAGATGAAATTTGACAGTTTTCATTGATATTCTTTACAGACACTAAATACACAGATATATAGTGTTTAAAAAACTATTAAATACTGCTTTCTGTTATACTGTTTTCATTATAAACTGTTAAAAGATGATCATATATAGATGCATTTAATAATACCACCTGTGTTACACTAGGTTTTTGTATTTACACATATTTTATCTAATTTTTTTCTTCCAGCTACCCTGAGAAGCAGAAGAGAACTCTTTGTAATTATTTCCAGTTAATGGCTGGAAAAACAGCACAAAGAAGGAAATAGCTTAACTATAATTTCACAACTAGCAGTATTATTGCAGAAATAATGTTTTGATCTATTGTGCTTGACCTTATTATTTGTTTACTTTCTTTTTCTGTTTTTTTTCTTTGCCATGAATATGCATTACTTTTGAATTTTAAACACATTTTTCTAATGTAACATATAAAATTACAGAAGAATTACACATTTAGTTGGCAAAAAAAGCTGCCCTTTTATCAGATAGGAATGCTGCACATTACCAAAACACTCAACTTAAAAAAAAAACTTAAGAGGACTTACACAATAAGGAAAAATGTATTCTCTCATAATGAGCAGCCCCAGGGTGCTTCCAACTTGTTAATTCAGTGGCTCAGTAACACCCTCCAAAAACCAATTCTTTAATTTTTCTGTTCTCCCATCCTCAGCATGTTGACTTGCCCACTTCTAGGCTAATCAGCATGGAGAGTAAAGTTCAGTTGGATTAGCTCGGACTATTTAGGAACTTTCCCCTGACCTAGAGTCTGGGTCACCTTACCTGAGCACATGGCAATGCAGAGGACAGTGGACACCTAAACCAAATCGATTCTCTGACCCAGGGAAGAAGCAGGCAGCAGATTTAGGTAGCAGCTTATTTACCTCTGGAATGTGCTGACCAGAGCTGTCCACCATGTTGTCAGGAGAACCTGGAAGGAAACTAGGGGTAAAGGAAAAGAACAAACTTGGTATTGTCAGGTGTCTTCCCTTTTAGTTGATGATCCAGCTTGTTTACAGGGTCTTTTTGAGTATTGCTACCTGGTGACTTAGCATGGACGCTGTGACACTCTGCAAAGCTTTTTTCAGTGTCTGTGTTGCCCTTCTTTCTTGTGCCCCTTCCCAGTAGTAAACAGAACACTGAACTAAAGGTTAGGGAATCTTGACCATTTAAATGTTTTCTTAATCTGTCTAATGGAGTAGAAATAAAGGTCAATGAGATAATATGCAAGAAAGTACTTGAATTAAAAAGCGGTGTTGATTTGATTTTGATCCACAGAGAGGCTATGTTCCCAGAAAGATATAAACATAACCTCCTAATATGAATATGGCTACGAATAGGGTTAAATATGAATAGGCTATGTCCAGGTATATATCTTTTCCTTGGTTTGCATGAGGATCCCCTGATGCACATGCTTGGAGATAGTTAATTTGTACAATTCATTCACATATTTGGGTGAGAATAGGGAAGGGATGGATAGGTGACCTGAGGAAACAAATGTAAGATGAGAGTTTTGCGTTTCTGTTTTCTATAGCATTTTCATTTTGCTTATTTCGTTTTCAGCCCCAACAATACTTACTGACGTTAATCCTGAAACCAAGGTGATGCAAGAAGAAATTTTTGGACCAATTCTTCCAATAGTGCCTGTAAAGAATGCAGATGAAGCCATAAAATTCATAAATGAACGCGAAAAGGCCTTGACTTTCTATGTATTTTCTCATAACAAGAAGGTAAACTTTACAGCGAGCATCACACTGTTATAAACCACTATCAGAAATCATGTTTCCTCTTTGCACTAAAGCATATGATGGTTTATTTTGCGTAATGCCAGAGTCCACCAAATGAGGGTATATTATAGATTGCTGTCGGGTAATGAGGCCTTGGGGTTATCACTATAACCTTTCCCATACTCCTTAGGGTTAGATCTGAGTCTCCAGGGGTGAATGTCACAAGTTTTTTAACTCACAAACACCTGTATAATTGGAAGACTCACGTACCAGCATTAGAAGCTTTTCTGATATTACTCCAGAGGGCATTCTTGTGTAAGAGCCGTTACCCCGATGGCATTCACATCCACTCAGGGGGTGCTGTGTGGGACCGAAATCTCTGGCACTGTCACAGAAATGGCTGTGATATCTTGGACTTCAGTTATGTTACTTTGTTGTTAGAGTGGTAGTGCTATACCACATGTGAGCATTTTGCACCGTATGATACCAGCGTGAGCAGCTCGGCTACTTTCTGTGTGGCTCATTCACTTGCATCACGAGGTGACTGGCTGCTGCTAACGGACAAAGGCCTCAAAGTGGGCTAGTAGGTTCAAGAGCTCTCTGAAGAAAAGGGAAAGATTGAGGAGTTCACCAATCACATGTGTTCTGGAGAGCCTCTGATAACAGAACTTCAAAAGCTTGTGATGCTATTGAGATACAGATTTCTACAGATATGTTAAATGAGACCACATGTGTGGGGCTCAGTGACAAATGGGTTATGAACAAGCAGTGGACTGACATTTTAAATGACCATAAATAATGTGGTGGATGGGACCCTGAAGTCCAAAATCTACTGGCCACGGTGCATGTCGGTGGAGTGCTAACCCGCAGTTGGTTTGCCTGTGGTAACCACAATCTGCTACAACATTCCTTATGAAGAATTCTCAAGGGCTTGTTGGCACCCGGGTGAAATTACATTTACCAGTCAAGTTGTGCCTAATTGGATCTTAGGCCAACCATCTATTTTTTCAAACAGTGGATGCTAAATCTAAATATTTGTTGATTTCATAAAAACTAAACGACATCTATTTTATGTGCTATAATTCACAGCAAAGATAAATATTAACAATTTTTAAAAGCCAGAATATAGTCTGAACTGTCCCTTTTTGATGCCGTTTTGGATAGTCCAGCTCTAGATGGTGACTGAGTGAACATGACTGATTCGGGGTTACCTCCCTTGAAGTACTAGATGTGCCTCTCAAAAGTTAGATAGTGATCACATTTGTTATCTGTCACTGTCCAGGGATCAGCCTCTCCTTGAATTGCCTTACAATTTGAGGAGAGCAAGAGATTCCCTGTTCTAGAGAGGATGGGCAGAAAGAAATTTATTCTCAGTGAAAGTCTTTGGACACTTTCAATTGTTTGTGTTTGGCATGGTGTCCCCAAACGCAAGTAGTAGTGCCAGCACTCAAAGTGTTACAGCACACAGCTTACTGCAGGTACTACAGACCTGAGAGCCTTTGTTCTGTTCCTCAGCTTGTCAAACAGATGATTGATGGAACATCCAGCGGTGCTGTCACAGTCAACGACGTTATCATGCACTTCACGCTCAGTTCTTTACCCTTCGGAGGAGTGGGTGAGTATTCCTCTCTCCTGTTCATAGCAAATATTTCAAATATTTTACAAATTGCTGCTGTTTCTGCAGTTCTCTGTTTGATTGTCCTCTCCTGAGAGATACCTTCCCTGACCACACCCAGTTGAAAGTCCTCTTTCCACTACTCCACCAGACCTTCTGCTGAGAGGTTAATCTCTATCCTTTCACCCACCTCTTATTCTTAGTAGCATTTAACCACAGTCTGTAATTATTTTAGTCCTTTCATTGGCTTACTTGTTTATTGTCCTCTCAAATTTATGGGATTTTTTGGGGGGGCCAATAGTCAGGTCTCAGTTAATAAGGTCCCTCTGTCTTTGTTTTAAGGGAGGTAGTGAATGACAAGTTCAGAATGCCAGGAGCAGAGAGCAGTTTGAGGGTTTCCAAAATCCCTGTGCTGTCTACTCAAGGTGCCATTAAGTGGTACTCGCTGCACTGCTGCCAGCACTCTGTCCAGGGATCAGCCTCTCCTTGGATTGTTTCATGATTTGAGAAGATTAAGGGACTCCCTGTGTTCTAGTGAGGATGGGCAGAAAGAAATTCATTATTGGTGAAGCTCTGTGGACACAACCTGGTCCTTGCTGCTCCCTTTGGGCTATGTCCTACCTGCCTGCCTCTTTTATACCTGAGTTGATTGACTCAGCTTTTAATTTTTTTCCATTAGGACCTAGGTGGTAGGCTTCTCTATTATCTATCAGAGATATTACAAAATAACAAATGTGTAAAAAATTCTCATAGCAAAAAGCAAACAATAAGCCACTGTCTTAAAAGCTCCTGCTTTAGTCTCTCCCTCTGTGATTGCATAAGTAAACTACTCCATAGGAATGAAATGACCCAGTTTCACCTGTCAACCACCTTCTCCTGCTTAAGATAAGCTTGTCCCGTGGGGAGAAGCCAGATCAGGAAATCGCAGGTTCCAGACTGGAGCTGGCGGTAGCTTGGACTAGGATGGTGGCAACGGAGCTAGTGGAAAGAGGGGGAATATTTTGGGGAGTCAAGTGACATGATTTACTAATGGATTGAATGTGTCTGTGTGTGGTGAGAGGTGGCGAATGAAAGAAAGGATGATTTGTAGGATTTGGGCTGGAATTCCTATAGCTTCACTGCCCACCTTCTTAAAGGATTAGATTAGACTGTGTTGTCTTTTAGTTCCTCCATGCCCACAGGATCTAGGCTCCCACCCACAGCAGCATCTTGTTACTCCACATGAGGTCACAGGTACCTGCTAAGAGCAAATCTAGTGGCTTGAGCTCAGTCCCTATCTTCCTTGACTAGTACTACTTGGCATCATTGACTATACCCTCTTCTTTATAACAAAACAAACCTTTTTTCCTCCTGCATGCAGAGAGAATACAAGCTTTTTAAAAAAACTTGGAAAAGATAGAAGAGCCTAAAGAAAAAAAAATTAGATTATTCATACCTCCACTATTTAAAGATAACCTCTGGTGTAGGTTCTTAAAATTTTTTTTCCTTTCCTATATATGCACATACACATACATAAATGCATGAATGTTTTATTCAAAAGTGGTATCCTATTTAATATTGCTTTTGGTCCTATATGTGACAATAATAATGTGACATTTTCCCACATCAGTATGCTTGCGTGTCATGATTTTAGGAACTGCATATTCTTTCATCATATAAGTGCATCATACTTGTTTAATTCCTGGTATTAGGTTTTTGTGATTTCAAATTTTTTGACATTGATTCTAATATTTTTTTGTGCTATATCTGATTATGTCCTTAGAAAAAAGGTCTAGAAGAATAATTGCTGTGTTAAAAGTGCTTATATATATTTTTCAAAACAAATGCTTTTTCTAATTCTGAAAGTAATAAAGGCTTTTGAGGGGGAAAGGGCAAAAACAGAACACTACAGAAAGTTATAAGGAAAAATATAATAACATCCCAGGCATAAATACTTAATGTTTTGGCTCATCGCTTACTTTTTCTTTAAAAATGCATACCTTTTGGATCAGAACAAAAAAATGGCAAAGATGATAAAGGCTTTATTCATCCCCCTTAAGACCAAATCAAACTTGTGACAGAAACACAGAGGAAACAGCAAGCAGAGTCACCTAGGTTCTAGATGAACAAGCCCTACAACTAAGGAGAAAATAAGAAATCACCCTGCAACGGGAGGAGGTAGGATGGGGCAAAGACACGAGGCTGCCCAGTCCCAGAGTGGCTAAGTGTGACAGGGGCTGAGGCAGCGGCACAGCAGCCGGCAACTGCAGATGCCTCTTAAAGTGGCCCAGTCCCCGATGAGACCTTTGTGGTGTCGGACCTGCTCGCTCTGAGCACCAAGCACAAGGTAGGATGCATGGTGAGCACCAGGGACTTACAGGAGGACACTGAGTTGTTGGAATGAGGCTGGAGGTGAGGCTCCCTTCCATGCAGAAGTACCTGAGGTATCCATTCTTTCTCTGTTGAGTCCTCTCCCCTCCCAGTGTGCTGATGCAGCACCACCTCAGCTAAGAAGTCATCAAACTGGGTAACAGAGGTCACTCCACCCAGAGGATTCCCTGAAACTCTGCCTTCCCTAACTTGTGACCCCACCCAAGCCACATCCAATTGTGACCTCTGTGAGTCTGGTGCTCATTGCTGAGCCAACTCAAGACTCACTGGTGGCAGCTGACCTCAGTTTCTGGTGTGGCCTATTGATACAACTATGAGCACAGCATCTGTGTTGCTTACTGACTCTTAATTGGTGGCCCCAGAGGGACACAGGCTGGGGCTAAACTTGGCCTGCAGCTGAACTCCTCTCAGGACTGTGCCACTGGACACCTACTATGCAAAGCCACGCTAATAACACTGGAAGATTTAGGAGCTTTGCTTAGTGCATAGAAACAGACCCAGAAAGGCAGCCGAAATGGGAAAACAAAGAAGCAGAAACCATATGAGAAAAAAGAACGGAGATCCAGGAATAATGGAGTCAAGCAATCTAACAGACACTGTTTATAAAGATGCTCAATGAACTTAGGGGAAGAGTAGATGAATTCAGTGAGAACTTCAACAAAGATAAAAAACATAAAAATGGAAATGGAAATTATAAAAGGGAACCAGTCAGAAATGAAGAATACTTATCTGAGATGAAGAGTGTATTAGAGAGAATTAACAGAGTAGATAAAGAAGAGGATATCGAACCACCAATATAGAGGATGGGAAAGCCAAGGTCACCCAATCAGAACAGCAAGAAAAAAAAGCCAAAAATATAATAATGATTTAAGGAGTCTTTGGGACAAAATTAAATGTGAAAGCATCCGTGTAATAGAGGTACCTGAAGCAGGAGAGGAAGAACAATAGGTGGAAAAGCTATTTGAAGAAATAATGATGGAAAACTTCCGTCAAATGGTGAGGGAAATAGACATAGAACCCCAGGAATCTCAGAGAGTCCCAAGAAAGAAGAACCTAAAGGGGCCCACACCAAGACACATCATAATTAAAATGCCAAAGGTTAAAGACAAAGAATCTTAAAAGCAGTGAGAGAAAAGCTACAAGGGAACACCTATAAGACTGGCAGCCGATTTCTCAAAAGAAACTTTGCAAGTCAGAAGGGCTTAGCACAAAATATTCAATGTGATAACCCAGGATCTGCAACCAAGAATACTTTACCCAGCAAACCTATCATTTAGAGTCAAAGGACAGATACAGAGCTTCCCAGACAAAAATAAGCTAAAGGAATTCATCAACACCAAGCAACTATTACAGGAAATGTTGGAGGGACTTCTTTAAGAAGAAAAAACATGTATCAAAAACATGAATAAAGAATGGTGATAACTGCATTCCTATCAACAAGTACTTCAAATGGAAAATAATTAAATTCTCCAACCAAAGAATAGGGTGGCTGAATGGATAAGAAAACAAGCCCCCTACTTATGCTGCCCGCAAGAGACTCACTTCAGATTAAAAGACACACACAGACTAAAAGGAAGGGGATGGAAAAAGATATTGCCTTGATAGACATAGAGGGTATTGCGCTGAATGAAATAAGTCAGATAGGGAATGATAAATATCATGATTTCATGTACATATGGAATCTAAAGAACAAAATAACAAAAATGGAAGTAAACTCATAGATACAGAAAATAATTTGAGGGGTTCTAGATGGGAGGGGGGTTGGGGCGATGGTGAAAAAAGGCAAAGGGATTAAGAAGTACAAATGGATTGTTACAAAATAGACATGGAGATATAAAGTAGCATAAGGAATATAGTCAACAATGTAATAAACATGTAAGGGAAGAGAGGGGTACTAGATTTAGTGGAGTGATCACGAGCTCTAATTATGCTGTACAACTGAAACTAATATATGCCAACTATAATTTTAAAAAGTCATTGAATTGTACAATGTAAATACAGCAATTGTCTATTATATTTCAATAAAGCTGGGGAAAAAATGCATACCTTTTGACATATACTGCCAAATTTTCTTACAGTTTCTACTGTCATCTAAATGATGCACTAGCAGCCTAATAAACCAAATAAACTGCTTCCTGGCCTCCAGTCACCCATGCTATGTGCCACAGTGCCATACACATGTATCTGCTCAGCATACATAAATAGAGAAATGAAAACTGGCACAGAGCATGGATTTTTAAGAGGGCAAAGATTTACACTTGCTTATTATCACCCAACTGCGTAACCCTGTCATCTTTGTTACTTTCTAGGAGCTTAGGAGAAAGCAAGTGGGTTTGTAGGGTTGTGGATAAATAGAGCCACATGGAATGGCGGGGTAGAAACGCACACACAGCACTTAAAGTTAGGCTAATCTGGGTTCACATTCTGACTTCGCATTTTTCACTTTGAGCAGGTTACCTGATCCTACTAAGCTCCCTTTCCCTCTCGAATTGGGGGTGATGATACTTTATACATTGGGGTTGTGGTGTGAGTGAAATTAGAGAACACGTAGCATGGTCCCTGGCATCAGTGAGAAGCACTATCCCAGAAAGTGGCAAATCCTTGCTCTACTCTTGGAAAGTATCCTGTTTGACAGGGAGATTCACCTTGCTGTGAAACACTGGGAAGAATTTTCTGAAAAGAGCCACTAGTGCTGGCTGAAAAGTTAAATAGGGGGTGTCCCAGACAGCAGGGCATACTGTGGGTTTCCTGCAGCAGTGTTTAGACAGAGAAGTATCTGATGTCACCTATAGTGGAGCTGTTTTGTCTCTTTCCTTTATTTCAGGTTCCAGTGGAATGGGAACTTATCATGGAAAATATAGTTTTGATACTTTTTCTCATCAACGTTCCTGTTTATTAAAAAGTTTAAAGATGGAAGGTGTTAACAAACTCAGATATCCTCCCAATAGCCAGTCAAAGGTGGACTGGGCAAAATTTTTCCTCTTGAAACGGATCAGCAAAAGAACACTCAGTCTCCTATTCCTTGCTTTCCTGGGCATTGTGGCCGCTGTACTTGTCAAGGTAAGTCCCTATAACTCATGAGGTGCCAATCTTTCTGATGCTGCCTGAATGGCTGCCGGCTGCATTTCTTTTGTCTTGGGAGCTTCTCTAATTTTTTAATAAAATCTCTCACTTACATTAATTTTCAGAGTCTAAGACAGGGTCAGCGAGCTACGTATTTTTGTAAAACGGTCTTGTTGGGGCAAGGCACACGCCCCTTTCTTAACTTAGCATCTCTGCTGCTTTCATGCTACAGCAGCAGAACTGAGTAGTTGCAACAGAGACCTTATAGCTACAGAGCCTAAATTATTACAGGAAAAGTTTGCCAAGCTCTGATTTAAGACTTTAAAACACTATATAACTGCCTTGTAAAATTCTGAGCTATCTCACCTGATCCTTTTACTTTTGGTGTCTCGGTTTCAGTTTTGTTCCTGAATGTGCACTAAAGCAGCTTGCCATGGAGATGGAGGAGAGAATTCTGTGGTGGACAATAATAGTGGATGATAGTGGTCGTGAAGCAACTTTAGTGAGGGAAGTTTGAATGCTTTTTCTCCAAAGTTGACTACGTATAAAGTTTAACTTTGATGATTAGTTATTATGGATATGGGCTTGCTAAAAGGCCCTTGTGACAGCGGGCTTCACAAGGCAGTTTGTGTATCCTTGAGGCAAAAGAGGATATCCAAGATAAGGAAAGTCAAGATGGAATGGGGGAAGGCAGTTGTGTTCTTGGAGCTCTCATTCAGCCAGCTGAGCAGATACGTTGAAATTATTGACAACATCCATGAAGTACAGACTTGGAAAAGAGGCAAGATTCAAGCATGTAATAGAAGTAGCTGTGTTTATATCTGTATTTTGTTTAAAATTTGAAAGAAGCTTGGCTCATTTTATAGTATCCACAGCTTTGGTGGAATTAGAGATACCAGTTGCATTTGAAATCATTTGGATTTTCTCAGAAATACCAAGCTGTGCTGAGGAGAAAGGCCCTGTTGATTTTTCTGGCGGTTCACAGACTATGTTGTCCAGTAAGCAGTGATGAACAGCACATTTCAGAACCCAGCTCTATCTGTTAAGAGTGAGGTAGGAACTCCTCGTTATCTTTCTTTATGTAAGGTGGGCCACATTGGGGTATGTTTTCTTTTAGTTTGTTTTTCTACAGCTGGAGACTTAGGGATTATTGAAAAAGGTTTAATGTATTTGTCTCCAGACATTTTGGACCTTGTCCCAGAGTATCAGAATGTTAAAACTTAACTTTTTTACAATTTTGAAAGGGTGAGGGTGGGTTGCTGCTTTCTTAAAATGTGTACAGGTAATGGCTTAGCTTGGTCTAGATGAAGCATTCATCATTCCTACAAAAAGGACCTCCTTCCTTTTCCATCTACTCAGCTGGAGAAAGTATGAGCTGACCAACTCAGACCTGTAGTCACCATTTAGACACTGACTGACCTCTTTGTTTCTTAATTTGAGAATAATCTTCTAAAAATCTCTAAGTCACTTTTTATTTTAAGTTGTTTTGGTTTTTAAAAAATGTGACATTAGAATTCATGGTAGTAAACTTAGTGAATGAAAACACAGTTTGCAATTTAGGGGCTTTCTATTATTATTACTTGCGCATCTTCCCGAGGTCCAATCATACTTGAGTCTCTGGTCATTGTCTGCCTGTCTGCTCTTTCCTCAGGACATCAGTCCTCAGCCTGATATGCATCTTCTTGGTTGGAATTTGGAGGTCCGGGCTGACTGTACTCTCTAGGCTTGCCATAGGTGCAATGCACCATACTAGACAGGGTGGAACAGGCCAGGTAGCCCCTGCCCAGTGTTCAATAAAGGGTTCGGCAGAGAAGTCTTTCTCTGTTAGGGTCTAGAGAAGCAGCAATGTATAAAAACATTTAGCTGGGGACAAAATAATGTGGCTTTAATTCCTGGCTCTGAGATCGACTTAATTATGACTTTGAGCAAGGCCTTTTCTGAGCCTATCTTTAGGCCTCGGCTTGCTCATCTATAGAATGAAGGGGTAGGCATCAGTGATTTCCCAGGCCACTTTCACCTGCATTTCTTATTACTGTGAGTTGATGTGTTGTTCAGATTGTTTTGGGTTCATTGTGAGATGAATGAGGAAAAGATTTGGTTTTCTTTTTCTCTTTGCTGCTTCTCTGCTCTTCTCTCTGAGCTTTTTTCCTTTTTTAAAAAAAAATCATATCACCTTTTATTTTAAAAAAATGACTGAGCCAATATTGGATATTTTTGAGGAATCTTTTATAATTGCAAACATTTTTCTGAAATTGCTTTTCTGCACTAGTTATTTTATTTACGTGTGGATGTGATTTTATTAATTCACTTAGCTTGAATTAGAATGGATTTAGAACATTTTAAAATGGGAAAACGAAAGCATTGATTATCAGTCTATAGGGAACATGTCAGAATCGCAGTGGGGGGCAGTTTTCTATATACATTTGAACATATATAGGTATACAAAGTAAAGTTTTAGTAAAACTTAATATAGGGTACAGAAAGCATTGTAGAGTGTATAGATTTTAAAAGGTTGAGAAATAAAAAGGTTAAAATTGATGTCATTAGGCCTTTGAAAATTAAATACGACATTTTGAACTCTGAGGTTACAGCAGTACTTCCTCAGCTTCAGTAGGTATGGATTAAAAACTCCTGTCTTTAATATTGTCCCATTGGTACTGGACAGAATACTGCCTGCATCACCACCTGTCTTGTTACTGTTGTTTTTGAGGAAGGGCATAATCTTTAATCCTCAGCCCAAATCTCACTTAGATTTCTTAGGGATACATAGGCCATTTTCATATGATACATTTAGAGTCTCTTAAAACAGGACATATATGTTAGAGTCCTGATACTCGATTTATGTTCCAGGGCTGGTTGGGTGGGTTTTTAAACCAGAGTAACCTGGATCCCTTTCTCCTCTCTCCAGGCTGGATACTACTGAAGAATGATCCTGTTCAACTTCCTAATTGCCTCTGCTGAATTATTCCTCTGCTAAATAGTTAATGAACCAGTATCCTACAAAAAATAGTAAGGAAATATGCAAATGCAGTGTAATCAACCCTAAAAGTCATTGCTACTCACCATTAATAAAACTTGTCATTTCAGCCAAATCCCAACATTTTCCAACAGTGAGAATACCCAGAGAACCTATTCTAGATTATGTTACACAGATTTAGAGCTTTGGGCTAGGTTAAACTGGCACTCCCTGGGAGATGTAAAGGAGTCTCAGAACTTGCTCAGTGACTTCGTCACTATAGTTCATGGGACATGGGTCACCATACCCTGTCCCTGCTGCTGCCTCTGTCACTTTGGAAACTTTCAAGAACTCAGCAGTGCCCACGGTTACTAGTAATCTGCAATCCAGAGAGATGAGGCTAGATCTTCCAGCTCCCCTTCAAGTTTGAGGCACTAAAACTGTGGGGGTTAGGGGTTGTCTTTCATCCCTTGGAACTTGAGGACCACCTGAGCTCTAGGAGTTGGCCCTCCTCTCAAACGTGCCATCTGGCTTGTGGTTTTCTGGCTTTCTCTTCCATTATGTTTGGTTTATGGCAGTCTCTTGTCCCTACCCAGAAAGGCTTATTGTGACTAATAGCACTCAAAGCTTGTAAATCCTAGGACTTCCTGGAAGACAGTTGCCAATTTCATTCAGGTATCATCTGTCATTCTTATCATGTAAGAGTTACAAAATTCTGCAACTTAATAAAACCTAACTGGCATTTAAAAAATGTAATAAAAGTAACGTATTTATAATAATACTATGTCTTCTCTCAGGACCCTCAAGTTGCAAGTTAGTGAATCTCCAAGGACAGATCTTTTACATTTTTTATTTCTGTAGCACAGTGTAAATTCATTTCAATTTTTTAAACTTCAGAGAGGCCCCTTTCATAATAAATTCAACCTATAGAACTTAACATGGGGAAACCATTTCCTGTCTGTCATGGATGAGAGGCCCGGGATCTTCAGACTTTGGAGCTTGAGAACCTCAGGGGGCTGATGGTGGGTCATTTGCAGAAATCTGGAAGACTCTGTAAGCCATGCTGAAGAGGGTAGAAAACATGAGATCTCCTGAATAGTGTGCTGGCTATCACCCATGGGAACATAACACTCTAACAATAAGCTTTCTGCTTCTGTACTCCCCACTTGCACAGGCGACCTGTGGGTTGACAGTAAAAAGAAGAAGAATAAACTTGTGTGTTCAAACAGGATGAAGAATGGGGTTTAGGGCTTAAAAACCCTGTACCTCTACATTTCGGGGATGCTTAATTTGGTGTCTGCATACCCCTGGCAGACCCAGCTGGCTGAGTAAAGAATGTGTTTCCTATAACTCACTGATTTTTGGTGGTCCGTGTGTCTATCGGGGGCTGGCGGCTACAACAACAGGGCCAAGATTTGAGGTACTTCAGCCGGTGGGAGAGTGCTCGAGCCACTGTGCTCAAGAAGAGCTCTGTGGAATAGCCTTCCGGCTGAGCAGGGCCCTGTGATTTTGGCAGCAGGAGTTCCACCCTTCCTTCCCCTCAATGAGAAAATAGAATTCACTTTATAGAATGTATAATCAGCTTTGTTGAATGAATGTGTAAGACTGTCTGAAGTATGTCTATCACAGGATGATGTATCAAGAATTAATCACTAGACTAGTTTAGTAAAAAGCATCTTAAACTGTGGTTCTATCAGATTAGTCAATCATAAAATGTCTTAGACAAAAATTTCAATATGGTGTTTTCATTTAGTATATCATACATTATAATTTCTAGTTAAATTATTGACTTGTCTACTAGTTTATTCAAAAGAAATACATTATATTTGATAAAATGGACATGATTTTAATAACATTCTAAGTGTGGAAACGTAGATATGACTGTGCTGGCTGAAAAATTACTGCTTGGCTATCGCCCATGGGAGCATAGGTTATCACCCATGGGAACATAACATTCTAACAATAAGCTTTCTGCTTCTGTACCCCTGCTTGCACAACCGACCTGTGGGTTGACAGTAAATAGAAGAAAAATAGACTTTTGTGTTAAGACAGAATGAGGAATGGTGTTTAGGGCTTAAAAACCCTGTACCTCTACATTTCGGGGCTGCTTAATTTGGGGTCTGCGTACCCCTGGCAGACCCAGCTGGCTAAATAAAGAGTGTGCTTCCTATAACTCACTGGTTTCTGGTGGTCCATGTGTCTATCAGGGGCTGGCGGCCACAACATGACCTGAGATAATTATTTGGTCAAAAATTTTCTCCAATTATAAATACGCATTTTGTTTTTATCAAAGTTGGTATTTGTCAACTTTAAGTCATGCTTTCTCATTTTAAGTTCTTAGCCAAAAAGATTTTCTCAGGCTTTACTTTCTGACATTTGTGTGTTTTCGTCATTGTTTTTTAGAGTACCTATATAGTTAATGTTGTGTCCAGAATAACCAGACCCAACTTGAGTGCTCTTAACCAGGAGACAGTTTATTAGCCGGCGGCTGTCCTTGCAAAGGAGCAGCCTCGAAATGCCAAGATACAAGGTTTTTAAGCCCCAAATCCCATTCCTCATTCTGTCTTAAACACAAAGGTCCATCTTTCTCCTATTCACTACCTGTCAACCCACTGGTCAGGTGTGCAAGCGGGAAGTACAGAAGCAGAAAGCTTGTGTTAGAATGTGATGTTCCTATGGGTGATTGCCTATGTTCCCATGGACAATAGTCGGTGTTCCCATGGGCGATGGCCAAACAGTAATTTTCAGCTTATATACAATTGATTATTTTTCATGCCACGCAAGCAAGCAGGGTTACACAGGCTAAAATTGGCAGTTAGCGTATGAGCTCATTGTTACAAGTTTAATGATTA